AAACACCAAAACACTAGCCTGTACTAGTAGCAGAATTTCATGAGCATGAGTTGGGGGGTGGGGGAACTACAGAGATGGACTTGAAGGCAAAATACCAGCTTAGCATCCCAGAACCCGGTTTCCATACTTGGCACCAGATAGTCTCCTAACCACTACCTAAAACAACCCAAGAGACTCCTGAGCACTGACTATAAGGGTAGCCTGAGCAATTATGGCACTGCCAATTGGTTTACTAAGAATCACTGATGGTGCTCCCAAGCTTCCTGAGTACCCCTTAGGAGAGTCCTCTAAATAAATAAATAAATAAATAATAGAAGAGTAAAGGCTCTTTGCTTTCTCTTTTGCCTTTCTTTATATTTTTCCATTAGATTTCCATTATAAAGTAGAAAATGACTTTCTAAGCAGAAAATTTAAAAGAAATTTACACCTGAAAGACAAATCCTACTTCACATGCCAATCTATGACCTAAGGGGAAACATGAGTCTTCTGGGGAAAAGCCAGTAAGGAAATCTTCCATCTCTTTATTGAAAGGGCATCCATATTCTTCCTAATGAGTGTTTCCTCAAAATCTATCCATAGAATCTTTTATTTTCCGTTTTAATTTTTTTGTTAAAGCACCATGAGATAAAGTTACAAAGTTGTCTCTGACAATAGTAGTTGGATTTGAGCACTGCCTTGTCACCTCTCAAGAGATCAACCAGATTAAAGCTGAGCAAGGAAATAAGTAAATACTTTATTTGAGGGAAGAAATAGAAGGAGGGTTAGTTGATATATATATTAACTATATACATGAAAAGTTATATATATGTATATATATTCATTTTCCCCTGGAAAATGAATAGGCATTCTTCACCAGTGCACATAGGATATTCTCCAATATAGACCACATGCTGTACCACAAAATATACCTACAAAGAATTTTTTTTTTTTTTTGCCTAAGAATTACTTGGCCCAACTATGGATGAACATCTGTGGAGGTTGAGTTGGTGTTTGCAATTCTAACAAGCTCCCCAGGCAATTGTACTGAATATCAAAGTTTAGGGACAACTGCCCTAGGGCATCTCTCCTAAAGGGAGCAAGAAAAAAAATCTAAGCAATTAACACATGCTGGATGTGTGTCTTTTACCTGAGCTTGGTGCCTTGTACCCTTGGGTCTGCTCTCTGGTGAATAGTGTCTTCACCTTTTCATTTCTGATGCTAGTGAATTGAGAAGAGTGCTCCAGGCTCAGGATATTTCTCTCTGATGTTGGGAGAAGTCTAGGAGAGAAGACAGAACCAGCTCAGAGCGGAAGTGGGTATCCTTCACCTGGAGCAGGTGTGTGGTATGGGTGGTGGGACACCTCACTTCTCAGTAACTCCTGCAGGAGTTTCTTATTACTAGCTACTCAAAATAAGTGTATTTCAATTACTACTAGCCATGATTTTTATATTTTAATACTGTATCTTGAGACATAAAGCCAGTCAATTGTGTAAATTAATGCATATGCCCCCAAATTTATGTTGGGGCCCCCATCTCCTCATTCAAGTTCTAGAAACAAGAATATGTGCCTGTTGAGTGCATCAAAGATTAACTAGTCCTTTCTAACACTACTTCCCAATTTGCCTAATTTTGTCCCTTTACAGAGCACAGTTGCTTATGTTTTAGAGTATGTTTGAAGAATAACTTTTACCCAGAAAATTTTGGTTTCCTTTTTCCATAATATAGCACCTCTATTGCAGATTCTTGTTACAATCTGCTCAATGATTTTCTACCTATATCCCTAGTTTTGGGCTACCCCAGGTAAAGAGTTACACCTTTATTGGAAGTACCAAATCCTGAAAGAATATGCTAGTTTTTATGTTTATTTGGATTTCACTTAAGACAAAACTGAGTTTCCTCACTGAAGATCTTTGCATTTAATATTCAGAGGGAGAAATGCCATTAAATATCTCCCAGGAGAAGGCTGTTCTACATAAATTGTCTTATTTAATTTTGTTGCTGTAATTTAGGAACTAATATTCCATTTTTCAAGATGAAAAACTGAGGCTCCAAGATCTGTAATAACTTGCCCAAAGATATGGATCTAAAAAACGATAATTATAGCATTTATTCGTCTGGCTCTAAAACCCATGGCTTTTCTTCCATATCAGAGAGCCTCATCATCAAGAAAATGTACTTTATTAGGAAATAAAGGAGCCATGTGTGTTCTCTATTCTCTATATAGAGCGGGGGGGGAGGAGAGAAAGAGAGAGAGAGAGAGAGAGAGAAGAGAAGAGAAAGAGTGATTTTTAAATTCTAAATTTCACAGATTAGAGAAATTCACAAGTTTAGAAAGAATATATACTATTTAGAAAGCTTGTAGGAAACCAAAGGAAACCAAAGAGGATGGAAAGGGTTGGTGTGTGTGTGGGTGGGTGTGAGAGAAGAAGTTCAGCATAGTGGAATATTGGAATGATACTCTCCTATGCAGGCAAGTTACACTGACTCTCAGTTCATCATTGCTGTCTATGGCTTTTGCCTATATTAAGTCACGATCCCACTCTATAGTGATTTTGTAGCAACTGAACTCTGCCCAGTACCTGCCTATAAGAGGACAGGGCAAGTAGAAGGGAGAAAATTGGGAGAGGGGGTGCCTCATAAAATAAATAAATGGAAATTTCATTGATCTCTGCAACTGCAATTGCACTTCATAAATTTATGTGAATATTTTACTGTTTAATGTTCACAGCATTATCATGACTGACACTTTCAGATTTTTCTCTAGTTAGAGATGTAAAAATTGAGACTCAAACTTGGAACAAATCCAAGAGATACGATATGAAATGACGTGAACAGAACTTGATTCTAATTGCAATGCTTTTTCATGTATTCCACATTCAGACACGAAGCATCTTCCTTAAGGCCATGGTGAGGAGGTCAAAAATGTTGTGTTGAGCAACAGACTGGGAGCCTTGTATAACTTCTTTGTGTCTTTGAACTCTTTGTGTTGGCTGCTTTTAGGTAAGTTTAAAAAGAATGATTGCTATATCCACATATAATATGAATACACTCAACATGCCAACTTAAAGAAGCATAGAATTTTAAGAAGAAAAGAGTTGAATAAACTTCTTCTGGTTTACTTCCCAAGGAAGAGCCACTATAATGAAATTCTAACATCCTAAAAAGACCTACTATATTTCTTCTCTATTCCTTGATAATGACTTTTCATTTTTTATTTTAATATTTTGTTGATGTTCTGTAATTTACAATACTGTTATAATGGTTTCTCACAAATATTAATTATTCCAACACCACACTCATCACCAGTGTACCCACCTTCCTTTCCCAGTGACCCCCAACTCCCCTCCTTAACAATGATATTTTAATTGAAGTGAACGTTTCTTTTTTTTTGGTTGTTTTGTGTTTGAGGGGCACACACAGCAGTGCTCAGGGTTTATTCCTGGTTCTGGGCTCAGGGACCACACGGATTGAATCAAGATTTGACTGCAGGCAAGATAAACACCTTGACTCCTATGGTATCTCTTAGGCCCTACAGTGAAATTTTCATAAAGGCAAAGTGATACCATAAGTTCCTTTTCCTACTTGTCATGTAGGATTTGGTAGCTTTGGTTTTAGAATGTTTTAATGGGTAGGCAGTAACAGTTTGGGGAAATACAAATAGATTTTCCAAGATACAAAATATTGACAAGAGAGACCTGACTAGACCTAGAACAGATTTCAAAGGTTTGATAGCTTGTAAAAGGTAAAGGTAAAGGTAAAGGCCCTCCCGTTGATCGTCGATTTGCTCGAGCGGGCCCAGTAACGTCTCCATTGGAGACTTTGTTGTTACTGTGTCTGGCATATCGAATACTCTCGGTAGCTTGCCGGGCTCTCCGAGAGGGGCGGAGGAATCGAACTCGGGTCAGCCATGTTGGCCGCTTGTAAGGCGAATGCCCTAGCTTGTAGGTCAAGATATTCAGATCATTGTCTTAGAAAGTATAAAGCTGAATTGAAATTTGGATCATTTTAACTTAATAAGTTAAATAAGTCGTATCTCTGCTAAGACAGAGTGGCTTTCTCATTAATGACTAAACATAGCTACAGATTATCACTTGATGTGGAACACCTCTCTGCTAGAGGGTAAAAAAAAAACTCAGATAAGCCAGTTTCTCTCATCAAACTGTTGAAAATTCTTTTATGTTAGACGATAATTCTATCCACTTTAAGGGTTTGTTAAGGGGATATGGAAATGCAGAGAGACAATGACACATACATGAGGAAATCATTGCCCAGCAGTCACACCCACAAACTTTCTCTAGCACCATATAAGCTCATTAACAGCCATGACCCAGAGACTCACAAATAAATCTCAGAAGAGAAAGAGAGCAACACGTTGCACTCTGAACCCCAAAGTCACCATCCAGTTAAAAAATTTAACTCTAGCTGCATCGCCCTATTAGAAATTTTAGAATTCCTGGAAAGCATGTGGCGCATTCATAGCTGCATGACATTTCATACTCTGCCCCACTGGTGTACCAAGCATAGCACACTATATTTGATGAGGTGTAATGTAGAACACAACCTAGTTGGATCTATCTATCTATCTATCTATCTATCTATCTATTGATTCATCTGTCCATCTATCTATCACCACACAGATAAGATGTTAGCAATCTCTTATACAAGGGCTTAATGGCTCCAGGGTTACATACAACACTCTTTACATACTTTCCTTTCCTTTGGATCATTTTAGTGGATTATTCATAACAAGAAATACAAAATAATTTACTTAGTATGTGCTTTGGGGGCAGCTCTGGGTGGTGGTGGATAAATTCAAAATAATGGTGGTGGGATGATGTAACAATGTTGGGACTGGAATATTGAATGTGATAAATTATTGTGAACAATTTTTTAAACATAAAATTAAATTGAAAAAATAATTTTAAAAATGAATAAAGGAAGTCATTTCTCTCTGCTGTAGACTAATATTTCTTAGCTTCTGTTTTATAACTATTCTTTCACCAGTAAAGAGAAGAGTAGCATGAAAGGGGATAACCACAGCAGGGTGTCCGAGTTCCTCCTTCTGGGGCTCCCCATCCCTCCAGAGCAGAAAAGCTTATTTTTCACTCTGTTCCTGGCCATGTACCTGACCACGGTGCTGGGGAACCTGCTCATCATCCTGCTCATCAGGCTGGACTCTCGCCTCCACACTCCCATGTACTTCTTCCTCAGCCACTTGGCCTTCACTGATGTCTCATTTTCATCTGTCACTGTCCCAAGGATGTTGATGAGCATGCAAACACTGGACCAGTCCATTCCCTACGCAGAATGCATTTCCCAGATGTACTTTTTTATATTTTTCACTGATCTGGACAGCTTCCTTCTCACCTCCATGGCATATGATCGTTATGTGGCCATCTGCCACCCGCTCCACTACACCACCATTATGAGAGAAGGACTGTGTTGTTTACTAGTAGTTGTCTCGTGGATCCTCTCCTGTGCCAGTGCCCTTTCCCACACCCTCCTCCTGGCCCAGCTGTCCTTTTGCGCTGACAACACCGTCCCTCATTTCTTCTGTGACCTTGGTGCTTTGCTCAAGCTCTCCTGCTCAGATACATCCATCAATGAGCTGGTCATTTTCACAGTAGGTGTGGCAGTCATTACTGTCCCACTAATATGCATCTTGATCTCCTATGGCCGTATTGGGGCCACCATCCTGAAGGTGCCCTCTACCAAGGGGATCTGCAAAGCCTTGTCCACATGTGGCTCTCACCTCTCGGTTGTTTCTCTGTATTATGGAGCCATTATTGGGTTGTATTTTGTCCCTTCATCCAGCAACTCCAATGACAAGGATGTAATTGCTTCTGTGCTGTATACAGTGGTCACTCCATTAATGAACCCTTTCATCTATAGCCTAAGGAACAAAGATATGAAGGGAGCCCTAGAGAAACTCTTCTACAGGGCAATGGGCTCATCTCAGTGACATTTATTCTTCTTTACAGAATACTTACATTTTCATCTATCTTTAGCTATGACATCATTGATTTTGAACTCAACCTGCAATAAAAGTCTCATAAATCCTTAGCAATGTGAATTGTGTCCTGATTCAGCTACTCTTCATTTACCTAGAAATTATTTTAAATTTGTTATTATGATTGTGTTGGTTTCTCAAATTGTTCAATTTGAGAAATTAAATAGCTAGTGAAACTAATGTCTCTTATTTTACTTGATATTTATTTTTCAAATAATGCTTTGATTAATTTCCATATTAGTATTGTGTATACTTAAAATGTACATCTTCATACTTTGATAGAAATGCATATAAGATAATAAAGTTATTTAACATACATTTTTATTTACGTGATGAGAATACAATTTTTATATTAAAATATTTTTTGGGGGGGCCATACTAATAACCTTTCTCATGACTTTCCTTAGTGAAGCATCTCAGTGGGGTTAGGAAACAAATTTTCTATGTCTTTTTAAAACCATGTATGTGTAATGAAGTCACAAATTTAAATGATTTCTGGGAGCAGAGCAATAGTTCGGCAGGTATGGTGCCTGCCTTGCATGCAGGATCCCCAGGTTCAATCACTGGCATCCCATATGGTCCCCTGAGCACCACTAGGAGTGATTCTTGAGTACAGAGCCAGGAGTAACTCCTCAGCATCTCCAGGTGTGGTCCAAAAACAAAAATATACATAAATAAATATATATACATATATTTCTGGAAGTTATTAATTATAGACAGTACAATTAACCAGTTTATCAGTTCATATCCTTTCCAAAAGTAAATTTAACATTAGTTCTTTCATAGTATAATAATTTTTAAAAATCTTCTTTAAAAAGATAAATAATATCACAGAATCAGGTGCTCCCGAATTAACATTTTCACTTTGAAAATATTATCTATAGATACATATATTTTATATTAATATTTATAAGTATGGCATCTGTATACAATTTCAACCTGACATATGTAAATTTTAACTTAACAGAGGATATAAAAGACTTACACATAGAAAATTATAACTCAGCATTAAAATAAATAGAAAACGTAAGAAATACAAACACACTTCCTGTTCATAGATTGGCAGGATTAACATTGTTAAAAAAAAATCCTTCCCAAAGTACTATACAGATATAACTCCCATAAAAATTTCCATTGATGTTTTTAGGCCATGGACAAGATGCTGTTAATATTTACATATAGTAATAATATTTCCTGAAGATCCAAGGAAATCTTAGAGGAAAAGAAGAGATGAGGCATTTCTTTATCCAATTTCAAAGTATACTATAGTCATCAAGACCATGTGGTGCTGGAATAAAGGTAGACTCACAGACTAATGGAATAAAATTGAGATCCAGACACAGAACCTCAGGTATCTGAAGAACAAATGATCCAGGTAAAAGAAGAACCTTTTCAAGAAGAATTAATTAGCTGCATGCCCAAAACTCAGATTCCTATCTCATACCATCTGTAAAAGTTAACTTAAGGGGCTGGAGCGATAGTCAGTGAGAAGGAAAGAGACAAAAACAGAATGATCTCTCTCATAAGTAGACTACAAAGAAGTATATTGGGGGAGGGGGAGTATGAGACAATGGATTGCAGAATCTGGAGAGTGGACGGTCAATTAGAAGGTCATAGGACATACAGGTAACAGATTACGTGCGCTCAAATGAAAACTGTGGCACCAGAATAGGAAATAGATTGTCCTTAAAGATAGTTCGTAACTGATGAGAAGTCGGTGGTAAAATAAAGGGTTGTGGGGCTAGAGCAATAGTACAGCGGGTAGGGTGTTTGTCTTGCATGCAGCAGACCTGGGTTCAATCCTCGGCATCCCATGTGGTCCCCCAAGCACCACCAGGATTAATTCCTGAGTGCAGAGCCAGGAAAACCCTTGTGCATTGCCGGGTGTGACCCAAAAAAAGCAAAAAAAATAAACAAATAAATAAAATAAAGGATTGTTCTTGATTTCTGGCTATGTGAACTGATACTACAGAGCAGACTGAAAGACTAGGGTCTAGGAATAATTCTTATTATTTTTTAAAGTTCTTTTTTATTAATACACCATGATTTACAAAGCATGCAATGGTCTAACACCAATTCCACCACCAGTGTCAGCTCCCTCCCACCAGTGTCCAGGTTCTCACCCACCCTCCACAGAGGCATCTTTGACAGCCACATTTGTAAGTTTGATTAATGTAGTTGGAATCTCCAGTGTTGGAATCTTCACAGTCATTGACTCTGTGGTTTATATATATGGATCACACCTCTACCTCACTGGTGTGACCGAGAACACTGACCCCTGCCCCTCTAGCATCCACTCTTCTTACTTCCTCTATTTCTTTTCTTCCCTGTCCTTCTTCCTATACTCTAGGGGTGATTCAGCTATCCACCCTCCTTTTATACCTTGCATTTGTTTGTCCTGTTATTCTATATACCACAGATAAATGACATTATTCTGTGTTTTTCCTTCTTCTGACTTAATATGATAGTCACCAGTTCTATCCAAGTTGCAGCAAATTGCATGATTTTATGGTTTCTTGAATCTGCATAGTATTCTACTGTATATGTGGAATACACACACCTTTACAATCTACTCATCTATCATTAGACACCTAGGTTGATTCCATAGCCTCATCACTGTGCTAAGTGCTGCAATAAATAATGATGTGCTTATTATGTCCTATTGAACATATGCTTTTGTGTCCATGGGATATATATACTCTGAAGTGCAAGTGCTGGGTCATTTGGAAACTCAATTCTTACTTTTCTGACACATCTCTATACTGTTTTTCATAAAGGTTGAACCAGACAACATGTGCACCAGCAGTGAATCTTTTTTGCCACATCCTCGCCAACACAGATTGTTCCCAGAATTTTGTTTTTGATATGAGGCAATCACACTGGTGTGAGATGATACCTTATTTTTGTCTTGATTTGGATGTCCCTGATAGCAAATGGCGATGAGCACCTTTATGTGCTATCTGGCCAACCATTTGTCTTATTCAGAGAAGTATATCTTCATTTCCATTCCTCGTGAACATCCTTGCCTTGTCTGATCTCACATGGAAAGCTTTTAGTTTTTCACCATTGAGAATTATGCCGGCTATGTGTCTGTCATAGATGACCATTGAGATCTCAAAAAAAGCTACTTCTACCCCAAATATTTTGAGTGCTTTTAGCATGAATGGATTTGAATCTTGTTAAAAAGATTTCTCTGCATAGATCGATATAATCCTATGACTTTTATCCTTCCTTTTATTGATGTGGTGTATGTAGATTTCTTTGTGTGTGTTGAACCATCCTTCCATGCCTTGAATGATTCCCACTTGATCCTTTTGATCTTTTTGATATGCTGTTGGTTTCAGGTTACTGAGTTTTTATTGAGGATTTTGGCATCAATGTTTGTCAGAAAAAAATGGTCTTAAATTTTTCTTTCTAAGCGATAGCACAGCGGTAGGGCGTTTGCCTTGCACGCAGCCAACATGGCCGACCCAAGTTCGATTCCTCCGCCCCTGTCGGAGAGCCCGGCAAGCTACCGAGAGTATCTCGCCTGCACGGCAGAGCCTGGCAAGCTACCCGTGACGTATTCGATATGCCAAACACAGTAACAACAAAGTCTCCAATGGAGACGTTACTGGGCCCGCTCGAGCAAATTGATGAACAACGGGAGGGCCTTTACCTTTTACCTTTAATAGTTTAGCTATTTAGGGTATTAGCATAATGTTAGTTTCACAGAAGCTATTAGGACCATTCTTGTTTTCTTCAGTCTTCTGCCCCCGCGCCTGGGTGTTCCTCGCCGGGACCCCTTGGAGGGGAGCGGGTTGAACTTTCCTCCCTGCCCCGACCAGGGCTCTAGCAGCCGAAGACCTCCAGGACCAGCCACCACCATGCTGAGACCACTCTCCGCACACATGAAGGTACTGGCAGAGGGACAAAGCCACGCGGGTTCCGGGGCCGAGACCTCCAAGCCTACTCGGATTGGAGTCGAGCATCTTCCATCCAGATCCTCCAAATTCCAGTAGGCGGGGGTCACACCCACCACCTGGCCCCCTGGCGCCGTGTAATCCCATCAGCGGCCAAGACTCAGAGACTATAAAATCCAGATCCCGGAGGAGAACAGTGCAGTCTTCTGCCCCCGCGCCTGGGTGTTCCTCGCGGGGACATCTTATCAGAACTTTTTTTTATGACATCTTATTATCTCATTCCTACTTTGGACAAACTTGCAGGCTATCGAATGTAGCCTGCCCACAGGGCAGAGTCTGGCAAACTCCCCGTGGCCTACCAAATATTCCAAATACCAGTAACAATGATGGGTCTCATTCTCCTAAAGAGCCGTGAATATAATCTCAGGGCTAGGATGAAAGAGACATTACTGGGGCCTGCTCGAGGCAATCGACGAATAACTTGTTTCTTCAATATTTTGGAAGAGCTTAAGGAATACAAGCAGTAAGCCTTCTCTGAAAGTTTGAGAGAACTCATCAGTAAACCCAGTCTGACCAAAGGCTTTTATCTTGGGGAGAGTCTCAATTACTGTTTCAACTTCAATAAAATGACCTCTTTGAAGTAAAAATGTCTGGTATTTTTTTCTTGGACTTATTTTACTTAGCTTTAACCCTCTAGTTCCATCTATGTTGTTGCCAAAAACAATAATACATTTTAACTTCTAGATTAAGAGAATTTGCAATTTCTATGCTTGTAGCATAGAAAAAAATGGAATAAATATATTAACAAATATATATATATTTTTATTCCTGTTTTTTGTTTATTTGCTATTACCATTGAGAGGCAATAAATGATTTAAGCTTAAAAATTTATATTAACAAAATTATTACCCAAGTTTAAGAATCAAATAAAATATTTAAATCACAGTAATGAAAGGCAGGCAAATTAGAAAAATTAATCTTATACCTATGAAAGTGATCATGGTTCAAATTGATAATGACAGTGGGACAAAGTATGAAATTTAAGAGGAT